GGTTGAGGAATGGGTTGTGGGGGGTTGAGGAAGAGGTGGAAGCAGTGGCAAAGATGGGGGGAAGATAGGGGTGGTATAAATCCCTTTCCTCGTGTTTTGATGGCACGAGGCGCAAAGGGGAAGGATTGATGGGGTTATATATCGAAGGGGGGGGGGGGGGGGGGGGTGTTCTATTATCTCCTTTGACAAAGTTTAATCAAGCTTCGTTTCAACGGAACGGGAAAAGAAGCACCAATAATGAAGACAACAATAACTGTTTGGTTTGATCACATATTTAATTCTTCTTCTTCTTAAATATCCTCCTTTCCTATTATATTCAACACAGTTCATTGCAAAATTACAGAAAGCGTTCTAGTAATAAAATATGTCACTGACAGAATCCCTGAGGACAAAATAATAGCTTTACCATGTAAAGCATATGTTTCAATCAAGGTACACAAACAGAAAGATTTAGAAGTCCAACAATGTGGCCAGGGTTATTAGACTCATCCACCATTTATGTTGCTCCCAGAGAGTTTAACATAATGGCTTCATAAAACCACCGAACACAAAGTGAACTCTAAAAAAAAATCAGAAAAAGTCAGGCATATAATTGATGACGGCTCATGATTTTTCTAAGGAAAGGGGTTTGTTTTCAAAGAATTAATTACTTGTAATCATTTTTTAGATTTTTTTGTTTTGTTTTTTTTCTCCTACATTTGTTATTAAAAAATATGTTCTAAGTATTGCCATTAAAAGCCAGATTCAAAGGGCTGAAGATTTAGGCACTTAAAATTACTTAAAATGTGTAAGAGCTGTAGGAAACAAAATTTACTTATCAGGCTTTCTGAGTTTATTTATATGCTTTACACTTTCTACTAAAATTATTACACAATTATTTAGCCATCTACTTTTACCTCCTAGCAGAGCAAGAAAATATAGAGTGATTTTACTTTAAAAAAAAAAAACACCAATAATGCTAAATATACAAGTAAACAAAAGAAAACAATGAAATTAGAGTGTAGTACTGCGTAGTAGTCTTCACAGTTTAAGTAAAATCACTCACTAATAACTAATAATAGAGAAAGTTCATATCATGTTTCAAAAAATGGCAAACTCCAGATTCCAGCTGCAATTTTTTCAATTACGAAGTGCTTAGACAAAATCGTTCACATGGATGAGGGAAAACTTGGTCAAGTGGTGCAAATGAGATGTTTGCCATATGCCTTTAAATCTCTCTAAGTGTTTGCTTAACAGTGATCATAGCAATAAAGGCAAATGAAATAACACCATAAGTGACTTGCAACATAATGTCAAATCTTGCTCTTGTTTCCCAAGCAATCACAAGGCAATTTGCCGGGTGGGTGTATCTAGCAATAAATTTCTCAAAAGTCACTCTAGGTTTTATCCACTGCATTGTCCCCCTATATTTTGTTAAGGGAGCATAACTGTCAAGAAAGTGGTTTCACTTGAACTTACTAACAATAAGTCATTGGACATATACATCCAGTAAATCATATGGAAATAGACTTCTGTGCCCAGTCTAGTCCTAAAGTAGTTTAGCTTGGTATAGAGAATAGAAGTGACAAAGTATATTCTGATTAGTGGTGTAATAAATTATTTATCATGAATGGAAGTAAAATTATATGGTAATGCATGACAATGAGTTTGAAACAAAAGAAAAGAAAATTTAAACCAAGGATAAAATCTAACCACATCATATACATCTGGCCCTGGTTCCTCGAAAGGGGCAGGTTAAGTCTAACCCAGGATTAAGCCAAAGTTTTAGCAAGGTCTTCTTGTCTAATGACATGCCTCTTGAGCTTTCAAAATACTGATTGTGCCTTTAATCCAAGATTTAGCGATAATAACAGAGAATGTTACTCTAAGCAATGCATATAAAGGTGAGATACAAAAATGGAACAAATTCCTAATCCTGGATTAGGGCTAATCTGGCTTTCAGGAACCCCAGGGCCTGGGATGTAGCTCGGTGGTAGCAGTAGTAGTAGTAGCTGTGTAACAATTTGAGTTCAATGCATAAAATTTTACGTACAGTGACAGTTATACTCCCAACCCTTCAGCAAATCTTTTAGCAAGTTATTTCTCTGAGCCCCCTTCTGCTGCCCCGTCCTCTGGTGCTGATCCACTTTCTTCTTTTGTTCCCTCTTCAACTTCTATACCAAGAACCTCAAGAATTTTCTCATTAGGGACATGATCTCCAGGTGAAGCCTGTTTGTGGCTGAGCAACACTTTCTCTCCCCCTGCTGTCACTATCAGCATGCCGCCATTTAGCATTCCATCACCCTTTAAGTTTCCTTTTATGTTTTTGGAGTTTGCCTGCAGACAACAACACAAAATGAAAATATGAAACACACATACAGGAGTAATATAGAAAGGCATCCACAAGAGAACGCACTTGAATCGAAATAAAGAACATCAAATAAAAAAATTGGAACAGTTTCTGTACACTGCAAGATTCACATATAAAGGCTATCTACTTTACTTTAATTTATGATCATAGAGAATCACCTTGTTTGCACCATAAATACATGATTAAAAAATGATCACCATCTATTTCACCAATTTGAAACTTAACAGAAAAAAAGGAACTTTCTGCAGTCAACTTTACCAGAAATCACATTCATCCATTATTTTCCAAACTTGTTAAACTTCAAATAAACTGTGACTTAAGTAGATTAAAGGTATTTAAAAGCAATCACCTTGGATATGGATAACCTTGTTTCTTTAGCTGTCAAGCCACCAAGGACAGTTAATGCATTGTACCTAAGCAAAGCAAATGAACAAACTTACCAAAGTTTGAGCACAAGAAGATCTTTCCTTTTTTCTAAGTTCTGCCGCTCAAATGCATTTTTTGCCATAAAAGCCATTGAAGTTTAGCTGAAGCTTTTCAGCCAGTACACCCATTTAACACACTTTTGCTTTTTTCAATACAACAATAATACTATAAGGTTTTCAGGGCCAGAATGCCCTTTTCTCAGGCACCTAGTTCTTGTTCAACAAAAAGAAGGTCATGTAATAAACTGCATCTTATTAGCTATAGCAGCACCTTGTGATCCTTAATTAGTTACTTACATTAAGCAGCCAGGTGCAAAGAAAGTCAGTTCTACAAACTTCAGCTACCATGCACTAGCAAGAGTCATTTTAACTAGCCTCCCTCCCCCCCCACCCCCCCAAAAAAATTGATAAGCAGGATTTTTACAGTTCTTTTCAGACTATGGTAATTCTGAATTCCCCAAAAACTTCACTGGCCCTTTGGGCAAGAAGAACAGAACTCACTAACATGGGCCCAGTTGTTCGAAGGCCGATTAGTGCTAACCCAGGGTTAAATCTTAACCTGGGTTTCTTTTCCTTTTGTTCAAAAGCATTTTCCAGGATAATTTTCTCTATTCTTTCTAGAGCATCCAGTCATCAAATGGTAGGCAAAAAGAATAACTTTAAACTGAATTTGCTTTCTAAGCTTTCATATCTGAATTCAAATTTCGCACTAACCCTAGGTTATCTTAACCCTGCTTTGAACAACCCGGCCCTGATAGCAAACTTCTCTAGCCCTGGAATGTTGGACAAAACTTTCTTTGCATGCTGATATACCCTAGAGTGACTATGAAATGTTTGGGTCCTGCTGCATGAAACTCACAATATATTCTCTCTACATTTCATAGTTTCATCGCTTTTAATTAGTGTGCAAACAATATTTTAGACCTTGACAGTCTTACTATTCCTCACCTTTTGAATCCCAAGTCCTTGTAAATCTGCTGCTTGGTATCCAAAAACAACTCTGTGAAACAAAGCAAGATTTTTTATAACATGAGAGAGTAGGGTGTTTATCACCAGTCACACAAATATCTGTGACAGGTACGTTCCCCCTTCCCTCTGCTATTTGTCTGTGGTGCAGTTTTTTTTGAAAATTGAGTTTTGAAACCCCACCTTTCCCCTCAGGTAACAAAACTTAACAAAACTTTGAAAGTTTACCAAGCAAGAGGTGGTGATCTTTCAGAAGATGGTTTCTATTTCCTGCCAAATTACATTTAAATAACTTTGTCAAAGATAAAAGCTGCTGCTAAATGAGATCCACCTTCTAATAAAGTAAGCAAGCAACTTATTTAGTCTAGAATGATTTTTTTCTGCATTTGAACTTGCTCAAAAGGATGCTTTAACACACTGGGACCAAACTAACCTCCAGTGAAGAACTTTTTTTCTTGGAACTCTTCAAGGCCAAGTTCCTCCAGTCCAACACCACACAGACGCACGTTATGTGCATCAAGCTGTGGTTTGACCGAACTAAGTTCAGTCGACCACAGCCGGCACAGCTGTCATCCAAACCGACGTAGAAAAACAACCACTACAGTCTGATTGGCCCATAAGCTCTGAAGCTCAACCATCTGTTTCAAACAATTCATATGAAATGTTAGACTTGTGACCACAATTCGAGCTCAAACGATATTTTAGTGTGATGTTCAAAGCATGAGTGACTACTACTTACGGAACCAGAAATGAGAAGTGAGGGACTTTTGAGAACAACAAATCAAATGTTTGAATTTAACGCTTCAGACATTTTAGACAGGGTCTGGAAGGAAGGTCCCGCTCTGCTTTAACCACAATATAAATCCCACAACCCAAACTTCTGTCATCTCTATCGTGAATACCACGGAGGTTTGGGTTTCTCATTCAGCAACAAGGGAAGTATTTCCAGAGGAACCTCACTAAATACAATAACTTTTATTCAAGTCCTATTAGGGACAGTTAGTTTTTACAGCAAGCTGTGAACTTCGAATTGGCGAAGCAAAAGTTATCTTGCGACAAAATTTGCAGCAGTATGACATGGGCTTTGTAATTTTACACTATCAAAAAACTTGGGCCAGTATTATCAAGTTTACCTGACCCCAGTTGTTTAAAAGCTGGACAGAGCCTCACAGGATAAATCACTAACCAGTGGATAAGTATTGCTAGGAGCCCATGACCCCGAGTAAGAAACTCCCATACTAGGCCTATGTCACGGCTTTTTTATGGACCAGTTTATTTTTATACATATTTTAGTGCACTTTTGCCCACGAAAATAGAATCTCCACCATGTCTATGAGCGCATTTGAAGTATAAGGTATCAAAAAGGAAAACTTAACGTTATTAAAAGGCAAAAAATATCATTTTAGGTCTGTAGGTTTTGCCGACTGGTTTGTGGAATTTAAAAGATATTGAAAATTCGCGCCAAAACCGTTCTGAAAATAAACTGGTCTGTGAAAATGTCGTGACACAAGTGCATGGAAGTTGCTCGCTTCAGATTATGGGCTCCTGGTATTGTGCTATCCAGTGGATAGTGATCTAGAAATTTATCCAGTGGATAGCTATGCACGTTTTTACAACTGCGAGGCGTTGATGATATCCACACAAGTTGGCTGAATGGGATATTTTTCTTCTTTAAATTGTAGGCTGGTGGGTGGGGTATTAAAGCTAATATATTCAAAAAGTTAAGCTTATGTTTGCCCTGTGCAGAATCTCAGCTACCACAACACTTTAACAGCAGTTACAACTCAAACACGAGAATTAAATGCCTCAAGTCTTCATTCGATTCTTAACAGATTCGTTGGAGATCAAGGATACTTGCATATTCACGTGTAAAGCGTGAAGAAACACATTTCGGATGTCACGGGTTACGTAATCAGAAACAGAAAGAAAAAAACTTTTAAAACGGTTGGAAGACAACAATAAATTACTAACAAAAAATCACCTCGAACCGACGAAATGCCAACATTTCAATGAAAGTAGCAAAAAGCTAGGCGGGTCTTGCAAGGTGCATGACACGGGGCATGCAACATAAAAAATCAAGATGTATCCAGCAAACAAGTGAATGAACAACTTTGCTATGAAAACAAGCAAGCGATTGCGTTTCCTACCTCTCCAGAAGCAACAGATTTTATAAGATTTTGAGCAATTTTGCTCAATTCCATGGTGGTGTGCAAGCTCGTACGTGCTCTGTTCGACAGTTCACGAAATAGTGGGGAAAATCCGTAACCACGTGATCATTCTCGGATTTATTCTAACCCTTCCCAGGTCTCCACCGGCCCCATCGAGCCGGAAGAGTTTGGGAATTGTTTTTTCAGCTTTCCCGTAGTCCCCGATGATATCAAAATATGGGGCAAATTCATTCTCTCTTGACCTTACCAGGACCTTGCCATTTGATTTCTCTTTTCATTGTATGGCTGAATCCCCGAGTGAGCAAGATGAAATTAAACGAATTCCGTGTTCTGCTTGGCTAGCTCAGCGGGTAAGATGGACTCATCTTTTCGTGGGAGGGCTTCTCGGGGGTGGGTAACCGGGGGGGGGGGAGGTTTGGGCGTTTGGCGCCTGACTTAGCTGATGGCAGATCTTGACTTCCAGTTGATGTGGTACATTATCGGGTGTGAAGAAGAATAAAATTTACTGAGTGTTGCTGCTTGTTTACCATTTACATGGGCAAACCGGTCGGTTTACGGTTTGGGTAAATGGTACGCAAAGTTCAGGACTGGTAAATTTAGTTCCGGAATCGCGTTTACCATTTATACAGATCAGTTCCATTTAACGGAAAACGGCCGCGAAGGCCTCAAACTGGTATCAAGATGGCTTCGAGGAAATGGAACACGAATTTCCGTTTGGAATATTTCTTCCGGAAAAACAGGACTACCTTTTCAGATGTTCCGTTTCTCCCGGAAATTTTCCGTTGGGAAGACCCAAAAAGTCGTGTTCCATTTACTTTCGAACCGGATTTCCCAGAAAATTATTGCAAATGGTAAACAACCGCTAAGTCCACCTCACCCTCTGTCTTTATACCGTCCTCCCGCGGTTTTTCGCACTTCTTTCCCGATCCGTTTCTTCAATATCTTGGAGCCTGGAATAGGCTGTTCCCGATCAAAAATTTCGTTATTCTATTATTCCAGTACAAAAAAATCATTATTTAATAGGTCCGAAAAATCTGCGGTATCGATAACACATCATAATGATGACGGCAAAAAAGGGGTACACGTACCCCTCCCTAAAGGTCACTCGCAAGCGATTTGTTGACATTAGGGATTCGTCCTATTCATTTGCATTTTTTTTATCTCCAACAATACCGTAATGGAGCGAAGTTTCCGGCTGCTAAGGATTTACATAAGTGTGGAACTTCGCGTGGTATCAATTATATTAATGTCTATTTTCAACTGTCTTTCCTTCCAAATCGCCGAGAGTTGCTGATTTTTCATCAGCGATCCACGGAAGTGAAATACAAGAGCTAAAGATTACTTGTGTGACTTGCTGTTTACATTCGACAGATCTATTGACTTGCCACATAGAATCATCTTCCGATAAAAGCGGCCATCTTAAAATTACAAAATCGCCTCATTTCGCGAAGCAAGGGTGTAATTTTTGCGAGTAATCAATTTGAATGGCGAATCACTGCAGAGCAGATTACACTCGCGCTGAAACAAGTGACGGAACGACGAATATTCCTCTCCTCAGCGAAGATTCGATGGACGACGACCAGCACCTCATCGGAAACAGAGACACTGCTCTCGTTTTCACGGATGGCGGAGAAGGCGAACACAAAGTCAGATTTTCTGCAACATCTACATCATCATCGGCAGTTGGCTCAAACATTCTCTGGAGGAAAAAGACCACTGTTCTGGTGGCCATTATCGTAGTACTTATAATTATTTGCATCATCCTTCTTGCCTTGCTGACGCGAATTCCTAAACCTTGCTCAAAAACAAAACAAACTACATGCGTAACTGAGGGCTGCGTAAACGCCGCCTATCATATTTTTCACTCTATGAACCGATCGGTTAATCCTTGTGAAAATTTTTACGAATATGCTTGTGGCGGATGGGTTGAAAACAACCCTATTCCTGAAAGCAAGTCTTTCTGGGGTGTTTATTCTGTCTTAGAGGAAAAAAACGAAAGGATTGTAAAGAAACTCTTGACGGAGTCGTCTTTGACTTCTGAAGCTACACAGAAAGCGAAGACGTTCTATGACGCCTGTATGGATGAGTCAACTATCAACAAAGTCGGCTCGAAACCGCTGCTCGACATTATTAATCGTCTCGGTGGATGGAATGTAACCCAGGATTGGAATAAAACCCAGTTTGACTTCGCAAAATTGCTTCAGAAAGTTCACAGCATATATTCAGTGTCTGCCTTCTTTACAACGGACGTGGAAGCTGATGATAAGAATTCCTCAAAAAATGCAATAAAGGTAGGTTAAGAAATGTGATTTTGATTATTCCGCGTCTTCATATGGAGACTTACAAAAGACGCGTCCACGCCGCGGTTGTGTGTAGCTAATGTCACACATTTCTATTTATAGGTCGATCAAGGTGGACTTACGCTGTCGAGAATTTACTATCTGAAGAACATGTCTGATCCGGTAAGTTTCGCTTGCTATGACTTTAAAGTCATAGCAAACAATTTCTCGGCTTTGCTCTGATTCTTGTCGTGTTATGACATGTCTTGATGCCGTCACTTTTTATGCTTTTCCCAGAAACTTGTAGCATACTTGAAGTATATGACTACTGTTGGCGTTTTGCTGGGAGGAACGGACAGGAATGAAACGGAAAGACAGATGAGAGATGTACTGGAGTTCGAAATGAAGCTGGCAAAGGTTTGCATCTAAACGCACTGAGCTTCTCAACTAAACTCCAAATGATCGCCCCATGTAAAGGAATCCAAGAGAGTCTTGGAATCTGGATTCCACGCCATGGATTCCGGATTCTAGATACTGGATTCTGGATCCTTTGTCAGTGGAACTTGGGGCGCGATCCATTCAACCAAAATCCAGACCGGTCCGACCGGGAAAAGTGGTCCACCTCAAAAGGTGGACCCGTTTTTTCGAAACTTTTCCAGTTGGACCGAACAGATCCATTGAGTTTTGGACCGAAATTTCCGGAAATTTTGCTTGAATGGATCGCGTCCTTGGATTCCGGATTACAGTCGTTATGAGGGTTCCGGATTCCTTGAGCTGTATTCCGGATTCCAAGACCCAGGATTCCAGATTCCGGAATCCTCAAGAGATAACGGGGGGACATGCGAAACCTTTCCCTTCTGCCCAGTTGCACTTTGAAAGGTGGGCTGGTTGTAAACCAACCTTTCAGACGGGATCGTTCACTGATCTTTGCGTAAGAGCAAAATTCTGGTGGCGAAGACCTAGCTCTTAACAAATTTCACGCCAGTGCCTGCCACTGATCGTTTCGGCTTATTCTGGCAGCCAGACCTCTGCCATGTCGAGGAGACCTAATACCGCTAGCAAGCCATGCTGTGAAACGCGAGACAAAAGCAGGGGGCGGGGCAGGCAGGTGGGGTGGGAAGAAAAAACCGCACTGTGTCGTCAGTCACGCGTTGCGCTCGAGCGTGTTCCTCGCCTTGCGTTCTTTACTGCGGTTAAACATCACAAACGAATGGCTTACAACTGAAAGAAAGGCAACACCTAAGACAACTTCGTCCCCAGGGCGCTTTTACCTGGCTTTGGAGGTGAGCCAGGGAAAAGCGCCCTGGGAGCGAGGTTGCACCTAAGAGCGTAACAACAGGCTTGTCAGCCAGAGTTTGGTATACAGCAAGCTTGGGTATACGGTATTAATCTGAATGGATAAACAGTGCATTTTCTGCCTCATTTTGCCAACATTTTCGGGTGCCTGGATTACTCCACTTCTCTCATCAAGGGCTCTTTGGGAAAAAAAAAATTGGGGGTATATCGGCTTTTTTTCGGGTTATTATATTCCCCTTGCCCATCCTATAGTGTTGACATGATATCTGTTTGTTTTCAGATATTTGTGCCTAATGTGAACAGAAGTCAAATTGACGAGATGTACAACAAAACGAACATCGCAAAGCTTAAAAAGCTTTGTTCAAGAGTAAGAACGTTAATGAGTTCCTTGATATCAATTTCACAGGCTGCCACCAAGCCGGTCACTGAGGGAATTCATCTCCAGGAAAAGTCGCCTGCATTTGACATATTGAGCGGGTCCAAATAGACGCGATTAAGTTTGAAAGAACGCAAATTCATTTTTTACCGACGTTTTCACTGCCGTCATCGTCGTCCTTGCTTAAGGTCCCTAATGAGACGATAGCGTAGCCCGCGAAAACAGTCGTCTCTCCTCGCACCTCGCACCTCGCACCTCGCTGCTAGGGACATTTCGCCAGGTCCCTCCTGGTGAAACTTCCCTAGCAACGAGGAGCAAGGAAAGACGGCTGTATTCGCAGGCCAGCGATGGCAAGTGAAGCCGCCTTTGCTCCGTGCCGGTCTTTGTCGATGGTAAATTTTGTAACCTGTGACTATACTATCTAAGGTCCTAAGGCTACTTGCTTTGCCTTTCCGGCAGCATAATCAAACCAGTGGTTCATTTATTTCTCTTTCAGATCCCTTGGCTTACGTTTTTCAAAAATCACTTTAAGAATATAGCTGATATAGAGGAAACTGAGGAGGTTGTGGTGTATGCCACGCGTTATCTTGAAGTCCTGTCACCTGTCATAAAAAATGCATCAAAAGTGTAAGTAATCTTTGTTTGTTCTTGTGGAGGAAGCGGGGTAGGATTTGGGTACTCGCATAGCATGCAAAGGCCGCATTTTATAACCAGGGGTTAATCCCGGGGAGGGGGGTAACTCAAGAACAGTCGGGCACAATAAATGGTACAGTGAGATCTCAACCTCTCGTCGGAAGTGGAAAAAAAGCATCAGCTGGAGACATTGCTTCAAATCTCAAAATTGCAACTAGAAGGGGAGGAGGCGCACCTCTTGGTCCGTTGTTTTAACAACGGAAGTCATCAAAATCAAATCATTTCTTTCTGGCTGAGTACAGTGCCGGTGATACAAACATTAGCAGAGATTAAAAGTGACGCTTACGGCAAACGGCAAACGTCAGATTCAAGTTTAGAATTTGTTTAAAAAGAAATCGTCTAGATAAAAACAAACCAAAACGTGAAGCTACTAATTTTGGGACAGAGGTAACGATCACTAGAGCAAACTTGGTCACGTGGTACAAAACGTTTGTCGTTTGCCGTTACCGTGACCCTAAATAGAGAGTTTTAGATCCGAGTTTACAGCGAACCTCTAACCGCGGTCTGCGGGTACCCGTTTGCAGTTCGACGTTCAAACATAATTCGATTTAGATTGGCGGTGGATTAAATTACGGCCGCCACTTTGAATCAGCAGCCATGAATGGCACTTGTTTTCAAGATCCAATAGGATTTATAAAATTCAGCATTTCGCCCGAATTTGTGCCTCTGGTAATGGATAAAGACTTGCTCTACAAGATTTTTGTATCATTACGTGGGATGAAACAAGAATTATACGCTAAAAGCTTTCAGGTAAATGGCATACGTGAAAACCTACCTCCCCAAAACGCACATAGTAAACCTCAAAAGTGACGCGAAAGACTTGTCACGTGACCTCCAGCGGTTAGAGGTTTGCGGTAAACTCGGATCTAAAACTCTCTAATATCTCTATTGTCTACTTGGAAAATCGCCCAACTAAAATGTTCTGCCAGCGAGCCTTGTAGTCTAGAGCATCCTGGCCTAAGTTACCATGGCTTACAACTCATCTCTCACCCTGTCTTTTAACCAGACTGCTAAACAACTACATGGTGTGGCGTGTAGTATCCAAAATGGCGCCTTTGTTATCCAAAAAATTCCGGGACGCTCATCAGGAGATGATTGAAGTGTTAACAGGCTCCAAGAAATCAGAGGACTTATGGAAGCGATGTATGGGCGAGACTGACGGCGCTATAGGAATGGCCCTGGGATCTCTCTTTATTGAAAAATCATTTGAAGGAACCAGTAAACAACAGGTAAACTTCTGATAGGGGTTAACTCAACTTGGATCCCAGGGTCTTCTCATACCTGTCCCCCGAGGACGAGTACTGAGGAGAGGGCCCTAGGAACGAGATTGGGGTTAACTCAGTTGTTAGAAAGCACTCACAGCTCTCCTCGATTACTCTTTAAGGATATGGAAAGCAAGCGCGCTATCGACGGGAGCGCTCCTCCATGCACGGCGCTTTGTGCTTTTCTGTTGGCTCAATGCTTGTTGCGTTAAGCGCGTGATTGCTACAGCACTATCCCAGTGTGACAATAAAAGCAAACAACAAGAGAATCGCAGTCCGAACAAAGACAGGTTGTTAACTGAGGACAGTAGTACTGCCTTTGCTATGCAATCGGCTTGACCTGTACGTGACCCGAAGAAATGTTGGCCCCATCCCCAACCGGGAATGAATTACTGAACACAACAGTTTCTCAATTGTTTCTTTGGTAAAAAAAAAAAAAAAAACTTTGATTAGAGAATAAAGGAGATGTAACCAGCTTTATTGCTTTGCTGCGTGATCGGTGATGGAGGAAACATAAATAGTCCCAGTTGCTTTTGTTTTTTCGTTTCTACCACCGTAAACTGTTCTCGACCCCAATTTTTACGTGTGGTTTTCACAGACGATCATCGAGTTGAAATTGTCCACTGGCAATCTGTAATTGTCCAGTTTTCGCTCATGTTAAGAAATCAAAAAATCGGCAAGGGAATCATGGTGAGGCTTTGTCCTTTTCACTCCCAGAGCAATTATGGGCGCACAGAATGAGAGCCTTTCTTCAAATTTTATGATTGCAGGCCACCGAGATGATTGACGCTATTCGTGCATCTTTCAAGAAAGGCTTGCCAAATCTCGACTGGATGGATGACAAAACACGCCGAGCTGCAGAAGATAAGGTGATGTTGATTGATCTTAATTTAGCCAACGTCACTCTGGGAATGCCAATATCCCTCTTAATTCATGTTACGCCAATATCAGTATAAATAGGCCAACATCTCTCTTTGTATGCCAGTATCACTGTGGACAGACCAATATCACTCCCTGTTGGCCACTATTACCCTGGTTACACCCCTTGGGTTGAAGATATTCCTCAGCAATTTTTGTGCCCCACCACCTTCCTTCTCTTTTGACCAGTGAGAGAAAACATTGCTATTTTCCTGCCAAAATGATGTTTTAAAAGTTGGCCAAAGAAGTACGCGTTTGGATAAAACGTTTTAAAAGAGCGTTAATCAATACGCTAAAGTATAAGCCTATTGAATGGCATTGATTGGTTGATCAAATAATTGATTGATTGATTGTAGGCGGATGCTGTTGTGGACATGATTGGTTTTCCAGACTACATCAAAGACCCACAAAAACTGAAAGAAAAATATGACGGGGTAAGTGTTTCTACAATTTGATAATTTAAAACCAGGAATTCATCTATAGACGACACTTCCATCCATTAAAATGATGTTCTCTCCTTTCAGCTTAAATTTGACGTGAAGGCGTATTTTCAGAATAAAAGGAATGCTGACGACTTTTACCTACAGAAAAACCTTAAGACTCTACGAAAACCAGTGGAGAAATACAAGTATGTTTTCAGAGTTCTTTTAACTCTTTAAGTCCCAATGGTGACCAACATCCATTTTCTCCCAACAATATCTATAGGTTGTCAAAAGAAAAGGTTATGAGAATTAGTAAAATGATCACCAAAGCGAAAATGCCTTGATCTTTTATCAAATTCTCTCAACTAATTCTTATAGGAAATGTATACAGATCAGTTTGGAGAATTTGTTTGTGGATATTGGGGCTTAAAGGGTTAAGGCCTACCTCGCACATTCTAGATGTAGCTAGATGATTATTAAAAATATTCTTGATTTCATCCCACTGGTGCTTTAATTTTCTTTCTCTTTTCAGGTGGTACATGACACCTTCAACAGTCAATGCATATTATAGTCCGTCACGAAATCAGATCGGTGAGTCTTCTTTTTATTAGTTAGAGTTAAAGTTAGTTTGAAAAACAAAAAAGACCACTTTAGCCCATTACTTGCATCGTCTCCCAGGGTCAATTGTAGATTTTGAAATCGATTTTGAAAGCGGTAATACTTAGTACTCTGTGTACCAAATCCTCTAGTGTGCCCATTCGTAAAATATGAATCTTTTTCAAAAATTAAATCACTTTGCATGCGACCAAATCAGTGGTTTTAAGTATTCTGCAAAACGATCGCAAAATTTGGATTTTCCACTGATTGTGATGGTAATGATGATGATGATGATGATGATGATGATGATCCGGATGATGATGAAACATTGGTGGTGCAACTTTTTGAGAAGTCGCCAACTAAGTTATATTGTACTTTTTTCCAGTATTTCCAGCAGGCATTTTACAAGCTCCTTATTACGACAAGAAATTTCCAAAGTAAGTTCACACCTATCACAGAAGGGTTACTGGACGCTAATTTTTTTTACTTTGCTTTTTTGCTCTAGAAAAAGGCTTAGTTTCTCGATTCCTACCTCAATTAGAATTGTGACGGTTATCGAGAGAGCCATGCAAAGCATTTTACAGTTTTCATGGATTCAAAAGCTACAATAATGTAGGTAACGGCACCTTCTGAACACTTGCACGTTTCGTGTATTAGTTATAATTATTTTCTCAGCTTCGCCAATAGAACTTGCTCACAAATCGACCAAAGAGAGCCGATCAAACCGAGTGGGATTGGATTTAAAGCCGGATGTTCTACATGAGTGAAAAAAAACTTCAGTTCACTTATTTTTCTTTTTCTGTTTCTTTTTCTTCTTTTTCCATTTTATCGCCTTCAGGGTTATTAACTTTGGTGGAATTGGAACAGTTGTTGGTCATGAGCTGTCTCACGGCTTTGACAATTCAGGTAAACGTTTGTTGCAATTTCGTTTCAATTTTCTCCAAATTCCATTCGATAACTGCTCCTCGATGACGTGCTACTCGAATGGCTGACTAATGTTTCAGATTAGAGTAGCTAGATAACCGGCATTCTGAACCAGCTTTTAAACAAAATAAAACAAACGAAAATATCTAAATTGAACCAACCAAGCGGTTGGCAGCGTGTATGGTTAGCGATTGATATTTTGTGCTTTCTAAGGCTAATGCGGTGTGGGTAATTTCCCTCCGTTACGGTTAACAGACATCGTAAGAGGAATCAATTGTTTTGTAAAAGTTCCAAATTTCCCACCGGTTTCAGGCCGCTAAGGACCCTCCGGGTATATGGAAAGAACGGATGAAATAAGGTTCCTCATTCACAAAAAAAGTAACAAGCAATACTGGCTAGAAAAGCTTTTTTCACGGTGTATTTTTTACGACTTAGGGCTACAAATTTCCAATTTCGTTACGACTAAAATGGTTAACCCCATTGAGACCCGCCGGTGAACAGTCCTCCATGTTAGTTTTCCCCAGGGAAAAAAGAACATCGCTTTTTTATTGTCCACGCCAGAGTTTGAGACTCCTAATTTACAATTGTGAAATCTTTGGTTAGGTCGCATGTTCGACAAAAGAGGGAATTATGGAGTTCCGTGGTGGACTAATCGCTCAGTGGAGCAGTACAAGGATCGCAGTGAATGCATGGTTAACCAGTATTCAAAATTTTCTTACTTTGGTAAACATGTAAGTACAAATACCAGTCATCTATTAATCAAAACTCGAGATAAACCAAAACCTTAAAAGCAGTATGCTTAAAAAAGATATCGGGAAAAATTGGTGCTCCTGCTGAACTCGATTTGCGGAAATCGATTGGTAACCCTGTTCTGTGCCGTAAAATGAGGCTTGGTCGTTGTTGTCTTCTGTTATTTCCTGAGTAGAAAACTTAAAGAGATTTAATTCCAACTAGTTGGCTCTTCTACACACAGAGAACGAATGACATAAGTAAAGAGAAGTTGGAAATTAAAAATAAATACTTTTCACTCATCAAAAAAGGAAAAAATAAGTATCAGCAGGACTGCTGCCGCTTTTTACTGAGGATGCGATATATAGAAAATGGAATTAAAAAGGACGAAAGGAACCGCCGATAATTTTGTGTCGTGCATTTACATGCCATCTCATCTTCACACTTTTTACAATGTTTTGATAGGTAAGCGGAAAAATCACGCTAGGTGAAAACATAGCCGATAACGGAGGCCTGAAAGCTTCTTACAATGTAAGTAACAGCAACACTTTTTTTTACCCTGCGAGCAGAGGTTTCTTTCTTGCATGGCTTTTGGCGCGTACGAAGTCTGTCGCGTGGTTGGATGGTCAGTTACGCGACAGACAAGCCACGCGAACGACTTCGTAAGCGCTAAAAGCCATGCAAGAGAGCAACCTCTGTTCGCAGGGTACGCATTTTTAAATAGAAATAACTGTGAGCTGAACTAGAAAGAAGTTTGTTGTCATGTTACTATCCGAAATCTAGCTTGTGTAGTAAGCAACGCGCGCAAAAGGGTACTGACACGCACGAGGAGAGTAGTCTTGATCCTTACGACGTACGCTATTTCCATCTTTAAAAAATGTACAGCATTTGTTCAAGCAAGCAGGTAAGCGGAAGCCCTTCGAAGGCAAATGGTAATGAAAATATTGAATCCTAAATCTAAAATCACCTTGCTTTTCTTAATCAACGAAAGCGAATGTCCGGAATGGCCTAAGAAGGCGCGTAGAACTGGACTGGAGATAAGCTTTGCAAATGTTAGAAAACTCAACCCCCAACAAGCTTCCTGCGTGTTTGCCTGCGTTCGCTATTAAGTGAACAGAATCTATTACGCATGCTCTTTTTCACGCGCAATCATCGCAAATTCACGAGAAAATCGCTCCAATCCTTCCAGGTTGTCTGCAAACTTTTCCATTGTACTTTAATGTCTATGATAACAGATTTAACATCCTACTATTATGAGATGTTTTTCAACACTAATCAGTTTTTACACATTTTTTAGGCTTACAAAGAATGGGAAAAGAAGAATGGCCCCGAACAACCGCTCCCTCTGTTAAACATGACCCAAGATCAGACATTCTTTATGGCATTTGCACAGGTAAATTTCAATTTTTTTTTTCTAAAACAGTAATCCATTGCAATTCACTGGAGCGTCTTAAATCTGTTAAATTCAAAGCTAAAGGACAACCGCAACGGACTAGCAGACTCCACCGCGGTCGAAGAGCAGCTGTGGAATTTTTCGCGTTTTCGAGTTTTATCCATAAGGATTCGATCTACCATCAAGTAGAAACATGGGCAAGGCAATGCTTAAAATAGTAGTTAATGTCTGCCTCTCCTTTTTTTGCTATTTCTCGAAACGATTATCTTCTTTTTGTTGAAGTCGAACGTAACCCGCCCGAGGTAGTAACTCAGCGAATAACGTCCGTAATTATGCAGTTTTCAAACTCTTAGAACGATTTTAAACTTCCCACACGCGCAACACAGTACGGCGACATCACATGTAGTCTGCAGATGGCTTGGTCTATGGAAAGGACCAAAGATTTGAGGCACTTAAATTTCAAAAGCAAAGAAAACTGAGTGTTTTTATCGGCCCTTTTGTCAGTTAACGAGAAAAGGCCATTGCGTTGTTTTCGAGAGATGAATAAAAATTCGATACTTTTTTCTCATTTATGATTGTAGAACTGGTGCGCCAGCATTAGAAAACAGGCGGCTATAGTCAGACTCGATGAGGATCCCCATTCACCAAACAAATTCAGGTAATTATAATATAGCTCCATCTAATCTAGCCAGTTCTAGGCTCGGAGATAAAGGACTGACTTCGCGAAACAGAAGCACGCGAAAACAAGTCGACGCGCGTGATCTGGGAAAAAAAGGGGTGGAGGCTATCTCCAGGCCAGAGAAAGAGCAACGAATGTCATGCTAGGTCTTCTCACTAGCACCTATCAATCTTTGAAAATACAAATAAAAAATAATACATTAAATGGACAAAAGAAGTTACTACTCGTGAAACAAACACTTATCCTCTGGGAAGTGATTTATCCAGTGGATAGCGCTATCTAACCTTTGAACATTAACAGGATTAGCAAGTCGTTTTTTATGAGCTTGTGTGACCCTCACTTAAGTCTTAGACTATTCCTTAAACTGGAATGTACAAAAGCGTGTGTTGTAAGCATAAATAATGTCTTATGTGTCCTTTCATTTTTGTTTTTTACAGAGTTCTGGGTACAGTTATTAACTTTCCACCGTTTGCAGAGGCTTTCAAATGTTCCCCCGGAAGTAAAATGAACCCCGTCAAGAAATGCTATATTTGGTAGGCTCGGTTACCAGCCGCTGTTCGGGAAATGAAGCCGCGCTTCTTCCCCCTGGCGGCGGAAAATATCGAGCCTTCATGTTCGGTAGAATGACACAGTTTGTTTGCAATCATCAGACAAATAAAACCTTTTTTTCTTTTAAAAAAATCCTCCTTAGGCCCTGTTGCACTACGACGAAAAATAGAGTTTTGGTGTTTGCAAAAAAATTGAAAATTTGTAATCACCAATTTTTCGTTTTTGCAACCTTGTTCGTATCTGAGACACGCGAAATTTTTCTTACAACCAGACACGTTAATTAAAGGAACTTTAATTGGTGTTGTTCACGAAATGAGAGGACCTAACGAGGGATAGCTGTGAAGGAATAAAGGATTTTGTTGCCTGACAAAAAATAGTGGGCCTCCAAATCTTCTCGAAGGCATCTTTGAAGTTTGGTGACACTTGAGAAAAAATTTTGGTAGGTGAAAAATCCGTTTGTACTAGAAATGGCTTCCTGTTGGCAGCGATTTTTTTTGCAAAACAAACACAATTTTGAGTAGTGCGAAAAGGGCCCTTATTTATAATGACCCAGTCGCAATCTTTTTAACAGGACACCCACAATATATATTCTGGACCAATGTGCTTTCAGTAGAAAAACGGAGGGCCTGTACATGTTTTCTGTCTAATTTAATAATTTTGCTTTTTAATTTATTATACTTTTTCCAACTCAATGTTAAAGGTTTGAATTTGAATATAAATTATTGGAATTTAACCCTCGGACGTACACGCATACCCCCACCATGGTACAAAGGGGAGGGGGGGATGGACCCCCCCTTGAATTTTTGATATGTTGCAGTATTTCGAAACGATTTTGCTTTCAGTGGAAAGCCTTTGGTCTTCTGTACAAGGTGAGGTATATTTTATGGGTGGTGGTGCTGCTGGAGGTCTGTGACGTCACCAAACATGGTCGCCATCTTGGCCGCCTTCTTGGATTTTATCAAGAATAAAAATAATGAGCTAAACAGAATCACCAACCACCAACAATCCCCCCCACCCCCCTTGTACGTCCGAGGGTTAAGTCTTAAAGTTTTAAAATTCTGGCTTTTTATGATTTGTTTTACTTTTCTATGTTCATTGAAGTCGAAATTCCAGTTGTTTTTTAAATTAGTAGATTTAGTTGAGAAAAACTTTTGTGTGAAAATCATCTGTTTTCACTTTCACTTTCCAGTGGACCGCAATCTTTTAAAACTATTTATCTCTTCTTGATATCTCTTTTTGTGATGTTTATGATGTAACATATCTAATTGTCTTACATATACCAAAATTTCTTTCACTTTTTGTAATATAGACATAACTTGTAGTATAATTTACCATCAATGATTTGTTAGAATGATGGTGGCTTCTAGCTGCCAAGAGATGTATTAGCCCATTTCTTTGCGTTTCTTTGGTTGATTCTCCAAGGTGTACTATAGATTATTGATAAATAACTTGTTATAGATGTCTAACAATAATTAATTAACTGGCTGATTTGAAAAGGGAGAAGGCAAAGAGATTTTTCTTTGGGGGTAAGGGGTAAGGTTATGTGCTGATACCCAAAGTCATAGGGTACATCCTTCCTCTTTTAATTTTTTTCCTGGGGCTGCCTATATTGGACTAAGATAAACAAGTGTGTATGTAAAAATAAGAAATAAGATTGTTGAATAGTCATATCATTATTACTGAAATATTACAGTTCTGCATTGCATGTGTACAAAATGTCAAATTGTGCATTAATTTAATATTAGGCTGATTTAGCAACAGAACAGGAACGTCTGTTGACGACGGCGCACGCAAATCAAACAACTGGCTTGACCAATGGCAGAGCAGCAAATTGGGCACTGGAAGTCGAGTTTAGTCCTTTCTGCGCGCTTTCCCGTTGTCAAATGACGTTCCCATTCTGTTGCTAAATCAACCAGCTTACCTATTGCAAGGTTCAAGAGACAGATAAGTTAAACTATGCACTAATAGTGATAATAATATTGCTATGCCATCTTGCCATGGTTGGTCGAAGCTTTTAAATTATTAGTGGGTAGTAAAAGTACTTAGAATCTGCATTAATATGCCATGGTTGTTATTTCATCATAACTTATCACTAGCAAGGAAATAAACAATACAGACTCAGCAAAACAATAGTCCTTTATGGCTTAAAAACACTGTTTTGGTATATAACAAAACTTTCATGCCCCATGAAGCACTATCACTACTAAGCAAGTCAAGCTAGATTCTCACAGGATTAACCCATTCGCCCCTAAGCAACCCGTAACCACCCACAGGTGCAGATCCACATCCTTTCTACCACTTGTGACATAATCAGTTTTAATAGTCAAGGACAACTTTTTCCACTAAATTGTGCAGAATGAAGAGATCTTTCAAACCATACCAGAGCACAATTCAGTCAAGGACACCAGAAAAAAAGGCAAAAAGCATGTATCATTGACCTGGAATTTCCATGAAGATCTTGTTCCACTACCCAGCTAAAAGCTTTCCTAAAAACTTTTCCCACTAAAATGAAGCCTACTAGATGCCCAGCAAGGGAAAAAAATAAGGCAAGAAAAGCAAAAAAAGAGGGGAGGAGAGAAAGTCAAGACTGTTGCGTCACTTTTAAACCCAAAAACTCGAACTCAAAACTCAAAAATCTTGAAATTTTGCTTTCTCTGCATGCCCAAACTTCGCAAGCTTATATTTTGCAGTCTGGATCAGAAGGCTGTGAAGTGTATCGGGGGCGGATCTAGGGGGAGGGTGTAGGGGGTGCACACTGCCCCCCCTCCTGAGATGACCTGAGGTTTTCTAATACAACTGGTATTCTGCAAACAAAAAAAACTATGTGGTTTATTAGTGTTGAAGTAGAGCAAGAGACAAGTGCACCCCCTCCTAAAAAAAAACCTGGATCCGCCCCTGTGTATGACCTGTAAATGGCTTGGTGGTAAGTTTTAGCTCTTTATAGCACGACAGTGACAAGAAAACTGCTAGACTAGCTTAAAACACATTTTCCCGCAAAACCTCCAGAGCCAAATGGGTTAAGACTGAAGGCAGCTTGCACATTTCCAAAAAAAAATGGAATGTCCGTCAAAAACCATGTGCTTGCAAAACAGAATCATTTTTCAAGGCAATCAAGGTGTGTAGCGACTTCTAAATTGCGTGTGCTCTATAGCACGCAAGGTTGGTACAGTAGGCCACAGGCAAAGTTAAAACTTCTACAGATACGGTTCTGGGACTAAGCACGCAAATGTCGTAACAAAATTACAATATTAAACATGACATTTGAAAAATGCCAGTGTCTTGAATTTAAGCAAATTTGTGCCATTCTAGTAAAAGTGACAGATTTGTGTTTGCATTTTCCCACATTGTGATTTTCATACTATCCTAGCATACTATCCTATTTAACCCAAAAGCCCTAAGAGCGATCATTATCAAATTCCTCTTTGCCATAACAATGCTTTATAAAACAGAGAATGGGAAGATAGCAGGTATTAAACCCAGTCCCTTTGGCTCCAAAGGTTACACTTAACCGCATGTACGAGAACAATAGAAATGACCTTACCATCATTCTTTCATCGATACCGGCATTAAGCTTTCTGGCTATAAGCCAGTAAGTTCAAAATGGAGAAAAGGACAGAAAAACAGTGAAAGTTTCTAACCACTGTTCTTCTCCTTGTCATGAGGTGTTGCCTTTTCCTAGTTTCTGGTGATTTTCTTTTTCCTGTATGATCTCCGAGGCACCATGTGACATGCATACATGAGTCAAGCTGCCCAGAAATTTTAGGCTAAGGATCAGCCTTCCTTATGCTGACGTTCACTCCACTTTCAACAACACAATAACAAAATAGTGAGATTTGATTAGTTGATTGGCTTACTGCAGGATAAGCTCAGTTGGGTTGCGGAGCAGGAGCTTACAACTTCAATCTGGTCAATTTCTGGTGGAATAACACTCGGGCTCCTGAAAAAACTTGAGCATAAGTTTCTGTCTGCCTTGCTCAAGAGGCTCGCTTGATTCTCCCGTAAAAATGGCAGTTTACGTCCCAGAAGCAGACATAAAACAGTGTATCGTTTTGTAGTTCATGCTAAATTAAAATATACTGTGATTACTACTGTACAACATTATTGTTCACTCTCCGCGTTATAGTCTCAGCAGTGATTCATGCAGTACATTGATTAGCTAATATTCCAGGCTCCAGCCGACAATCTTAATTTTTTCCTCCTTTAAGAGTCAAACTTCTCCTAAATTTCATCCAGGTTCTCCACTGATTTATCTCCCTGCAAGTCTTTAAGGAGAAGTACAGAGTTCCCACAACAGAAAAGGCTCCAAAACAATACCCGACAACGGTCCATGTATCGACAAGATTATTTACACGATGAACGTCCGGCCAAACATCAACGTCAGTCATGTTCTTTACTTTCTTCGCAGCTCCACCAAGAATATTCACGTAAGACAACAAAACGTTCCTGTTTTTCACTCCTTCTTCTTCCAGAACGTCCTGAAAAAAGCCCTTATCCTCTGGTTCTTCCGCCATGTTGGAATTTGCAGGCGGAGGTGGCAGCAAAGGAGAGTGGGAATGAGTGATCCAGTCCTTCGCAACTTCCAAGGAAAGTGACGTCATCAATCCTTTCCGCTATCCTGAATCTCGGAAATGCGGAACCCCACGTCCCTATGTCAAACCATTTATTTGGATTTTCTTTTTGGAGCTAGCGGGGTGTACACAGGCAACTCTCGGGGCCCTTCAGGGGACCGGCACAGAGAAATCTGCTTGAAAAAGACTGGTTATAAAAGTACCGATTCAAACAGGCCTCCCGTCTCTGAGTCCTTTCAAAGGAGATATCCGTCTTTAAGGTGACTCGACCCAGTTTTTTTTTTTTTTTTT